AAGTCATCAGGTACATCAGGCAACCCACAGCTCTGCGTAAGGACCACTGGGCTCTGCTGACTCCTCGGGAACTGGAGCTGAGAGCCTGTGCTCTACCGGCAGAGGTGTGGGCTGTGCTGAGGAGAACTGAAGACCAAACCTCCGAAGGACCTGGCGCATGAGGTGTGACTGTGTAAGAGAGATGGTGCGCGCTGCTCTGTCTCTAGATCTGCAGGCCAAGGTAGCGGCGCAGCTCTCCAAGGTCAGTGCAGGTGTGTCGCCTCAGCAGCTCAGCCTTCACAGAGGCATGCGTGCTCTGTCTGCTGTAGCAAAGACCAGGTCGTCAACGTAGACTAGGATGTAGAACGGAGTCTGGCCAGTACGAACGAAGAGCGAAGGGTCAGCAGAGAACGGAAAGAACTGAAGGTCACCTAGCATGGCACGCAGCGTATCATGCCACTCACGGGGCGCCTGTTGTAAGCTGTAGACGGGGCGCCGGAGGAGCCACTGGGTCCCAGGGGGAAAGTACCAGTGAAGCCCTGAGGGTGGCGCATGCAGACCTGCTCGTGTAAGCTGCCCTGAAGGAAAGCAGTGGAGAAGTCGAGGGAGTGAAGCTCGACGTAGGTGTCGGTAGCCCTCCAAGATGCCATCTCCTGCTCCATGGCAGCTATCCACTGCGAGGCCTAGGGTCCTGAGGTCGCCTCAGCGTAGGTGCGAGGGTCGCGATGTCAATGGCAACGGGGGACACCCTCAGGGACTAGCAGCATGGAACAGAGATGCGGAGCAGCCTCTGACAGGAAAGCAAGCTCGTAATGCTGGTCCTCCAAGACTTCATTGCGGAGGGCAGAAGCACCCCCGACAGACGGGAGGGCAGACAGGGTCAGAGACCAGAGCGGTAGCACAGTAAAGGCGGCGAGTAGAGGCAAAGTCAGCGACAGCAGCTACAAGAGCGTCAAGACTGGAGACAGGAACAGACGGGTCGGTAACAAGGGAGGCAAGGACCCGAGGAACAAGAGGACGAGCAGCACAAAGGTAGTCAGACAGAGGGGGAGTCGCGACAGTGAGCAACGACGGAGGAGGCGAAGGCAAACGGGGAGGATGAGATGCGTGGGAACGAAGCAATGTAGGGTGAGAACACTGAACAGGAGAGACAAGACGAGCACGAGAGGGACGGCGAGACCAGACGTTAGACGGAGGCGTCGGGTAAGGAGAGAGTAGAGGAGTAACAGGAGGGGAACGAGAGGGGAAACGAGCCGGGGATGAGTCCGGGAGAGGAAACACAGGACCGTGAATAGGAAGAGGGGGAGACAGCGAGGGAGGCGCAGGCGAGCGATCAGGGGAGGGAAGGCTGAGCAGGTGAAGGGCGGACACCGGCGGTGACTGCTGCTGCTGCTGCTCAACGCTGACACGTGGACTACCAGCTGCACCACTACTACCTCCGGTACACTCCACGCTAGCACCCCCAGAACGAGAAACGTCTCCAGCGCAGGTGCCACACCCAAGCCCGCCGGGACAAGCCACAATAGGAGCCCCAGGACTAGCACCCTCCAACTGCAGCACCCTGAGAGTCCACGAACGGCTGCGGCTGCGGCAGCAGTGACGGCAGCAGTTGCGGCGGCGACTGCGACGAGGGAGGAGGAGACACCGGGGGAGGGACATTCGGCGCAAACAGCGTCGCGGGGCCACGAGAGTCAGCCGACTCCTCGACCAAGACAACCGGCAGGAGGGGAGTGACGTGAGACACACCGGACAAAGCAGTGCAGGGAGGGAGGGGAGCAGGGGCGACCAGGGAAGTGGGAACCAGAAATAGGGGAGGGGGGGAACCGGGAGACCTTGGTGAGGAAAGCGGTGGAAAAAGGAGACAGACTCGTCAAAAGTGACGTCACGGGAGTGAAGGAAGCGGTGAGACGACGGGTGGGTGAAGTGCCAGTCAGACGAGTCAAGGGGGAAAACTGTGAGAGTACGACCCCGTTACACCCCTTGGCCTTTTCTTATTTCCTTCCCTTTTTCATTTCTCGTTTTACCGCATCTCATTTGGTTTCCTATTTTCCATTTTCCATTATCCTTTGGTCTCTTCCTTTATTATAATTATATCACCGACCAGGCATGGAATGTACTAGAGACGTTATCCAGCGTAATCCTGCCGTAATCCCTTAAAGCCAATAGCCTCACGTGGCTATACGCAGGGTGATTCTATCTTCTAGAAGGGTCTATTCCCTTAGGATAAGATAAACCTGGTTACCTGATGTACTCTGGAAGTATAAAAGCGCCTTGTACCGATCGATAGTGCAACCTTTCCTCGACACATTCGATCCTGTGACACTTGGTAATCAGAGCTTTCTCACTCGGCCGCGCTCAGCTAAGCAGCAGCAGCGGGGATCCTGCCTCGAAAAACCGCCGGGGGCGACCAATTCGACGCCGATTCTGGTAAGCACCAGCTCCGCGATTTTCGAATTACCCCCTCCGTGCGTGTTTTGAACAGGATGGCAACCTTCGACAACGCCGAGGTTACCCAGCAGCTCTTCGCGCGCATCGCAGCCCTTCAGGAGGAAATGCGAGCGGATCGCGAAGCGTGGCGAAACCAGTTCGAGCGAGTAACTCGACTCGCCGGAGCGCAGCACGAGACGACAACGGCGACGACGCAGCAGTCGCAGCAGTTTCTCGAGGCTCCGAAACCGCGCCCACCTGAGCCGTTCGATCCGAGCGATCGAAACTCCGACGCCCGCAGATGGATCGCCGGGATGGAGATCTACTTCGCAGCCGTCGAATGGAGCTCGCCAGTCTGGGACGGTCAACGTGTACGACTCGCGGCGACACTGATGCGAGGGCCGGCACTCGAGTGGATTGGCGGCAACAGTACTTTCATCCACGGTGAAGCCACGTGGCAGCAGTTCCGCGCCGACCTGCTGAAACGCTTCGAACCGATAAATTCGAGTTTCCTTGCCCGGGAAAAAATTCATCGACACCGACAGTTCGGGAGTGTAGCACAGTACACGCAGCAGATGGAGGAATTTTATAACCGCATTCCCGACCTGACCGAAGGGGAAAAAGTACAATCGTACCTCGCCGGGCTGAAGACCGAAGTCAAACGACAAGTCGCAGCGTCAAACTACGCGAGCTACAGTGACGTCGTTTCGGCAGCGGAGCGCTTCGACATGGTCAACGCCGGAACACGACGGACGCACGTCGGCAGTACGCGACAGGGCGACCGCTCGGCTCACCCCACGTTCGCCGACCCGATGGAAGTCGACAGATTCGAGGGGCGGCCACGTCCGAAAAACACCAACTACACGTGTGATTTTTGCGGGGTGCCGGGCCACCGAATCTTCGACTGCAACAAAATGAAGGCCGCACGCGCAGAGTATCGGGCACGCAACAGTGGCGGAAATCTTTCGGCCAATCAGAAGACAAAAAACGGGAGTCGCCAGTGATTGCGGATCTAGCTGGCGAAAATAAAAAGATCCGAAAGCGGCCGCGGGATTCCGCAAAAATCAACTTCGACGAAGCTGATTCGACGCGAGAAGGAGGAAATGATGGGGGAAAATCTCCACCCCACGACCAGTCTTCGCCAGGGAAAATCGCCGAGGAAAAATACGACTCCGCGAAAAAAGACTCTGCCGAGACAGGGAAACTCCTTGAAGACCCAAGAAATTATAAGAATTCGTTAAAGTTATCTTATAAAGATGCTTTAATGAAAACTTATGATGTTCGAGGGGCTAGAGCCTTGGAGAAAATTCGGGAGGGACTCCAAAAGAAGCAGACAGCTGTGGAGATTATACCGGTACCGGACAACTTGGGGACCAAATTAAGGAGTGTGGAAAGAAGCCGACCTTTCCACGGAGTCAACGTCCTCTCCCGACACCAGCCCACAACGACTACCCGCTCCCCAGGGAAGACGTCGGTGGAGCTGAAGCAGCTCAAGAAGAAGCTGGGGGTCTACAAGAAGCTGCACAAACCCCGAACTCCTTCTACGGATGCATCCAGTTCTTCGGCATCAGTGACGCGCACAGTCGTCAAAGAAACTCCGGGCCCTGGAGAAGAGCCGTTCTCCAAGCAGCCTTGGCCAGCTGCCAGCTCAGGAGTAGACAACAACACAAAGGTGTGTACGGAATATTGGGATGTACCCTATGACCCAATCAATGAAACTATCTTTGGGTACTCTGAGCAACGACTGCCCCTCGTGCTCGAGGTCATCTGCAAAGGACGACGCCTCCAAGCACTCGTGGACAGCGGAGCGTCACACACCGTCTGCGACAAGGCAATGATCGACCGACTCCGGGAAGAGTACAAGCCTTCAGGATTCTCTGCAACGATGGTGGACGGCAGCAAGTTACCAGTACACGGCAAAGCAGTGCTACATCTACAAATCGGACCACTGCGCTGGAGACCTGCACTCCCCATCACCAACATCCAAGGGCTTGACTTGATCTTCGGGCGAGACTTCCTGAAAAAATTCAACCCCGAGATCAACTGGGTGAACCGCACCGCTAGCATCTACAACAATGGACGGAGAGTACAGCTACCCAACTGGGACGATACAGGAGATATCCCAGTGGAGACACTCGCACGATTCGAGAAGGATGTGAAGCGGACCGACACCGGGTTCCTGGCCATAGCAACAGAGGTGGAGAATGACGGAGAGAAAGCCTCGGAAACTCCAGAAAAAATCAAGGAAATACTGAAGGAGTTCCAAGACATTCTTCCTGACGATCTTCCGAACGAGCTACCGCCATACCGAACGCATCAACACGAGATCGTGGAGGAACCGGGTTCGAAGCCGACCTTCCGAGCACCATACCGGCTCAGCCCTACGGAGCTGACCGACATGAAGAAGCAGATCGAGTATCTCCTAGCCAAAGGACTCATCCGACCATCTACTTCGCCATACGGTGCCCCAGTACTCTTCACACCGAAACCGGACGGAAGCCTGCGCATGTGCATCGACTACCGAGCTCTTAACAAGCAGACCATCAAGAATAAATATCCGATACCGCAAATCGATGACCTGCTTGACCAGCTTCGGGGAGCTACGGTATTTTCCAAACTGGATCTGCGGTCCGGATACTGGCAGATACGGATGGGGGACAACTCTATCCACAAAACTGCTTTTCGAACTCGGTACGGATCGTACGAGTATTTGGTCATGCCGTTCGGACTCACCAACGCGCCGGCAACGTTCCAAGCCGAAATGAACCACATTCTACGACCACTTCTAGACGAATGCGTGGTGGTGTACCTGGACGACATACTCATCTACTCGCGCGACATGAAGCAGCACGTCGAACACCTGCGACGCGTCTTCGAAATTCTTCAACGAGAACGATTCTACGTCAAACTGTCCAAGAGCGAATTCGCCCTGGAGAAACTCCAATTTCTAGGACACTTGGTGAGCGCTCAAGGAGTTCACGTCGACCCCAAGAAATTCGAAGCCGTACGTACGTGGAAGACACTCGAGAACGTGAAGGAGTTGCAGCAGTTTCTAGGCTTCGCTAATTACTACAACAGGTTCGTGCCACAGTATGCGAAACTCGCGACACCACTCACGAATCTGCTGAAGAAGAACATGCCCTACAAATGGGAGACGAAGCACCAGGAAGCCGTGGAGCAGCTGAAACAAGCACTAACGTCCGCACCGGTGCTCATCTTGCCAGATCCCGAACGTGACTACGTCATTGAAGCAGACGCCAGTGATCAGGCCGTGGGTGCAGTCTTGATGCAAGACCAGGGGAATGGACTGCAACCAATTGCCTACCTCAGCAAGAAACTGCACGGGGCAGAACTCAACTACCCGATACACGACAAAGAGGCTCTTGCTATCATCATCGCCTTCAAAGCGTGGAGATGCTATCTCGAAAGACGAAGAACGACCGTCTACACCGACCACTGCAGCCTGAAATATTTGAAGAAACAACCCAACCTTTCCAGGCGGCAGGTCCGGTGGATCGACTTCCTCGAGACACACTTCCACTACGACATCGTGTACAAGCCCGGCCACAAGAACAAAGCAGACGCTCTCAGCCGGCCTGCACACGTTGCCGCGATTCAGGTCGAAGGGATGAATCCACTACTCAAGGGACTCTTCACCCACGGGTACGCCATCGACCCCGAAATTTCCTTGGCAGAAAAGCGACATCTGCTACAGTGGGACAGTGACATCGCGTACCGGAAAGGATCAACAAAAATCTGGGTACCCAATTACCCTCCTTTGCGCCAGTTACTACTCGAAGAATACCACGACGTCCTGTACGCCGGACACTTCGGTAGCAACAAGACGCTCACCGGTATTGCCAAACACTACTACTGGCCCCATATGGCAGACGACGTCCTGAAATTCGTCACCTCGTGTGATACATGTCAGCGGATGAAGAGCAGCAAGCAGAAAAAGGCGGGACTACTACAGCCTCTTCCTGTCCCAGAACAACCATGGCAAGTGGTTAGCCTGGACTTCATTACCGGGTTACCACCTACCTCCAGCGGTCATGACGCCATCCTTGTCGTCATTCACAAGTTCTCCAAAATGGGACACTTCATCCCGACACACACGACGGCATGCACCGAGGAGACAGCACAGCTCTTCGTTCGTCACATCATCTCACAGCATGGCATCCCAACTACACTCATCTCCGACCGAGACCCCAAGTTCACTAGCAAGTTCTGGAAGGAACTTATGTCTCTGCTCGGCACCAAACGCGCCATGTCATCCGCATACCATCCGCAGACAGACGGACAGACCGAGCGCCTCAACCAAATTGTTGAGCAACTCCTCCGAGCAGCCTGCAAGGACGACATCTCCAAATGGGACTTGCACCTGCCCGTACTCGAGTTTGCTTACAACAATGCCACACATGCCGCTACTGGACAGACGCCGTTCTTCCTCTGCTACGGACGCCACCCAATCACACCACAAAAACCGACAGCATCACCTACAGTCCAACCCGCACATGATTTCATTACAACCATGCATCAACTTTGGGATCGGACCCATAAGCGCCTCCTTGACATTCAACAGCAACAGAAGCGCCAGGCCGATCGCCATCGCAACGACCACACCATTTCCGTGGGAGACCAGGTGCTCCTCGACACCCGCAACCTGGACATCAGCCATCTCCCATCTAAACTTCGACCTCGCTTCTGCGGGCCTTTCCTCGTTGAAGCACAGGTCACTCCTGTTACCTTCCGCTTACGCCTGCCAGCTACCTGGAAGATTCACAACGCCTTCCACGTCCAACTTCTGAAGCCCTATCGGGACCCGAACACAATTTTCGTCGGACGCCAACCGCCGCCGCCACCGCCCGTCCTCGTCCAGAATGAACCCGAGTACGAGGTCGAGTCCGTGCTCGCACACCGCCGTCGTCGGAATGGCACCGTGGAGCTTCTTATCCGTTGGAAGGGTTATGATCCTTCTGAGGACAGCTGGGTACCTGAGTCCGACATGGGTAACGCCCGTCGTCCTCTGCATGACTACCTTGTCAAGCAGGGTGTTACTTCTACCACCCAGCTTTGAGGGGGGGAAGTGTGAGAGTACGACCCCGTTACACCCTTGGCCTTTTCTTATTTCCTTCCCTTTTTCATTTCTCGTTTTACCGCATCTCATTTGGTTTCCTATTTTCCATTTTCCATTATCCTTTGGTCTCTTCCTTTATTATAATTATATCATCGACCAGGCATGGAATGTACTAGAGACGTTATCCAGCGTAATCCTGCCGTAATCCCTTAAAGCCAATAGCCTCACGTGGCTATACGCAGGGTGATTCTATCTTCTAGAAGGGTCTATTCCCTTAGGATAAGATAAACCTGGATACCTGATGTACTCTGGAAGTATAAAAGCGCCTTGTACCGATCGATAGTGCAACCTTTCCTCGACACATTCGATCCTGTGACAAAAACGAGGAAGACACATGGGACGGTGCGGGCAGTGATTTTTTCCGTGCCGGAGGCACGAACGTGAGCGAGGCCGGCCCAGACGTGGAACGCAGACGCGTCACCAGGGAACCCGGTCCAAAGAAGGGTCGGCGAAACCTGCGGCCGCTGAGAGTTAAGCTGGTGAGCGCGTGGCGAATGGCGAACGGCCACAGAAAATGGGGTGCACCGGTATGGATTATGGAGGTATGAGCCACCTCCATGACCAAACCGATGCGTCGCTCAGCGACCCCATTCTGCTGCGGGGAGTCCGGTAGGGTGTACATCTGGGTGATACCCTCCGCACGACAGAACTGACCCAGCCGACCAGAGGCGAACTCGCCGTCACGGTCGGAGTGGAGACACAGCACAGGGAGACCGCGGTGGAGGCACGTAGAGACGAGCCACGTGATAAGAACGTCAGGCACGTCGGCCTTCCGCTCCAGGGGAAGCACCGTGGTGTAGCGCGTGAAGTCGTCAATGAGCACTAGAAAGAAGCGCTCGCGACGCGGTCCAGGGACAGGGGCTAGGCCCCAGACGTCCAAGTGAAGGGTGTGAAGGGGTGCAGTGGCAGGGTGAAGTGAGGAGGAGTGAGTAGCACGGCGCAGCCGACCCTTGACGCAGGGCGTGCACGGCGGCGCAGGCGACGGAGGGAGAGCAAGGAGCAAGGCAGGGAGGCCGAGGACTAGACCGTGCTGAGACATGTGACGCAGGCAGGGGAGCACGGGGTGACCTAGTGTTGTGTGATGTCATCATATGTTATCACATTCTGTCTGCCTCCCATCCCTTGTTTCAATTCGCACGTATGGTTTGACTGTGTGTGAAAGAATTTGTGTGGTGTGTTCTGGAGTTTGGGAATGTGTTTTGTGTTATTCTGTCTGAGCAGGTATTTGTGATGATAGATCTTGAGAAGATCTTTCCGACGCAACAAGAATCGCTTCAATCGGAGCAAGAACGCGAAAGCTATGAAGATTCAAAGTTCATGAGCTTGCGTTACAATTGCGGCGGTTACAAAGTGAAGTTGTGGGGTGACTTTATATGGAGTTGGGACCTTTGGGGTTGGGGAAATTCGTCACTCTACTGTAACAGCTGCAAATTGGTTGGGAACAACCAAGCTAGGTTGGCAAGGGTGGCCAACTTGGATGGATTGGTTGGGAAGGGACAAATGTCAAAGTTGGGGTTCCTATAGGGAGGGAATCTTTGTGCTTATGGGGTTTCCTTGGTTGGGGACTCTCTTGGGACCTTCCCTCTCATCCCTCTCTTCTATCCCAACCTTTCTCTTGCTCCTTCTAATTCCTTGTGAGATTCTTGAACTTTGATTGAACTCTTGAGATTGAGTTAAGTTCTCCTCCTACAGCTTACCCCCTAGTGCGTCGAAAGCCATAGCGTCGCGAATACTTCATCAATCAACGTGATTCAAATTGGGAACGGTAGCTGAGATCAAGAGCTACAACATATCCAAGTTTCGCGACATTCCAACGGCTAGTGTTTTGTCGACGTCGTTTCTTGTGAAGACGACTTTTCTGTCCAGAATTTCGGATTTATATTTTGAGTAATTCTAGCTCCTAAGTTCACCTAGACTCTGTCCTTAATCCTAACAAGTGGTATCAGAGCGATATTAAGGACATTGAGAGGAGTCTACAGAAGTGTGAAGACCCTTCTAGACCCACCATGGCCTGTGGGTGTGCCTAAGTGGTGTTCTAAAGGTTGGATGTGTCTTCCGCTAAGGGGAAACTCTGCCGAAATTTCGTGGACGCCGACACTTGTGAAAATATCGAGGGAGCTGAGTGTGGACAGCAAAGGGGAGCTGAAATTCGTCATTTCTCAAGGAGAAGATGAATGAGAGAGGAGGAGATGCTAATGGAAGAGGAGCTGTAGCTGAGAAGACAAGTGAGCCGCCGCCATCAAAAGTTGAAGCTTTGGATGGCTCCAACTATGAGGAATGGAGCGGACGGATGAGGAGTGCCTTCAAACGCTACAAGCTCCTGAAGATTGCTGTTGGGGAAGAGAAGATGCCGGAAGAAGGCGAAGCACGTGAACGGTGGATTGAGAAAAGCGCGGTGCTTTTCGACCTCATTCTTCAATCGGTCAACAAGGAGATGTTCGAGCACATCAAGGATCTTGTGGAAGCGGATGATTCGGGTCCAAGGGCGTGGAAACTACTACGTGATGTGGTTCAGCCCAACACTCTCCGATGGTGATCGTGCTCGAGAAGGAACTTGCTGCCATCTCCATGCGACCAGGGGACGATGTGAAGCCGGTCCTTGACAAGATCAAGGACACCTATGCAAGGATGGCAGCAGCGGGCAGCAGTGTATCTCAGCTGCAGCAGTGCACCAAGATCATCTCGGTGTTGGACAACTCTTGGGACAACCTCATCCCCACCCTCAACTCTCAACAAGATCAATGGACACCTGAGTGGCTAAGGCAGCAGATTCTGCAGGAGGACTTCCGCAGACGCCATGTGGGAGGCGGTGCTGCCACTAAGACTGCTGAGGGGTATGGAGCTGCAGGGCGCGGCAGAGGAAGAGGGGGTTGGAGAGGCCGAGGCCGTGGGAGGAGCTTTGGCAGAGGTAGAGGCCGAGGTGACTATAATGAGGGGCATGGGAGCTCTAGTGGCAGGGGGAGTACCAGAATGGAGGGCACCTGCTGGTACTGCAAGAAGATAGGGCATCCTTGGTTCAAGTGCTTCAGCAGGCCGGAGGGATGGGCACCTCCAGGCATGAAGCCACCCAGTGGTGAACGCGCACAAGGTGGCGCTGTGCAAGGCTCAGGTGCACAAGGTGAAGGTGCACAAGGTAATGCCTATCCTGGTTTGTTTCTTATGGTTGAGGATGTGCATGGGCATGAGGGTGATGTGGGATCTGTGGGAAAGGTTGTGATGCACCCTCTCACGCACTGGGTGATTGATTCGGGTTGCACCAGTCACATGACCCCACGGGCAGATTTGCTTGATGAGGTAAAACCCCCTGGGAAGATTAAGTATGTGGCAGCAGCGTCAGGTGCTTTGCTCCCCGTGATTGGTGTTGGGAATGCCAAGGTTAAGGGAGCTAATGGGGAGCTTGTGGGGCTTGGGAATGTTCTGCTGGTTGAAAGGCTTGTCTGCTAACCTTCTCTCTGTGCGGCGACTGCAGAAGAGCAAGGCCGAAGTGACCTTTGGACCAACCAGCTGCCGTGCTAAGCTTGGGAAGAAGGTGCTGTGGAGTCTGGAAGAGGAGACCAGCTGCATCAAGGACCTGTGGCAGCTGCCCATCATCCCTTGGAATGGGAAGACTCCAACAGCAGCAACGGCAGCAGCGGCAAAGGCAACAGCAGGAGGAGATGCAACTGCACCAACTGATGGGGTCCTGGAAGCAGTCAAGAAAGTGCAGAAGCAGCAGACACATGGTGAGGTGCTTGCTGGTGTGGATGCGAGTGCGGCATGGGCTAAGGCTTCATCAAGGAGTGGAGAGGCCGATTGGGAGACATGGCATGAGAGGTTGTGTCATGTGAACTTCCCTATGCTGCAGAAGTTGGTGAAGGATGGGAGCCTGAAGGGCTTGGAGGTGAAAGGGGAAGTGAAGGAGATTGGGAGCTGCCCTACATGCTTGGAGACCAAGTTCTCCAAGTTCCCCTTCAACAGTGCACTACAGGACCAGCCAAGACCCCACTTGCACTTGTGCACATGGATGTGGTGGGGCCCACAAGAGCCCCTTCCCTCTCAGGCAGCCGCTATTTCTTGACAATTGTGGATGACCACACTCGGGCAGTGTGGGTTTACCCTTTGAAGAGCAAGGGGGAGGTGGCAGCGGCTGTCCTTAAGGAGTGGATGCCTAGAGCTCAGAGGGAATGCGGACACAAGGTGAAGGTGATCCGCAGTGACAATGGTGGGGAGTTCATTGGAGCTGATTTTGAGGGGGAGTTGAAGAGGAAGGGGATCCAACATCAACTGACAGTGCCCTACAACCCGCAGCAGAATGGCGTGGCTGAGAGGTTCAACAGGACCCTGCAGGAGGGGGCACGCACTCTCCTTGGGCGTGCAGGGCTGCCTGATCCGTTTTGGGTGTCTGCACTGAGGCAGGTCGCCCTTGTGAAGAACAGGGTGCTGGCTACAGTTGGAGATAAGGAGTGGATCCCATATGTCAAGTGGTATGGGAGTGCTCCAGCTGTGAACATGCTGAGGGCATTTGGGTGCATGGTGGTGTTTCATGTGCCTAAGGAGAAAAGGGGGAAGTTGGAGGCTTCTGGAAGATGGGGTGTGCACTTGGGGATTGCAAAGGATCACAAGGGGTGGCTGCTATGGGACTTGACCACCCAGAAGTTGACAGTGTCAAGGGATGTGAAGTTTCTTGAGTCCCTGTACTACAAGGAATGGAAGCAGCAGCAACAGAAGCTTCCATCTACACCGCTCATTGTGGAGGCAGATGAGGTGCAGCAGCCTTCAAGACAGGTGGAGGTTGCAGTGTCAGAGGAGGAGATGTCTGGGGTGACTGAGGAAGGGGGAGCAGCTGAAGTGGAGCAGCAGCAGCAGCAGCATGAGTCTCCACCTCGAGTTCCACACCCGCCTGAGCGTCCTAGGAGGGATGTGCGCCCTCCAGTGAGGCTGACCTATGGGGAAGAGGCAAGCCGAATGTGGTGCAGGC